GATTGCAGAAAATGGGTTTCGATGAACTGACAAACGATCATGTTCTGGATGCCGAGACAGCAGGCTTGATATCGGCAGAGTTCAACTTTGAAGCCGCTGTTGACTCTCGTGGAATAGATCTAGTCCCAGCTCCCGCTCCAAAGGATACAGCCCATCTACCGCTTCGGCCTCCAGTTGTTACTATTATGGGGCATGTTGACCATGGAAAGACTACCCTTTTGGACTATCTCCGGAAGTCTTCAGTAGTAGCCACCGAGCACGGGGGCATCACCCAACATATTGGAGCATTTTCCGTGTCAATGCCGTCTGGCAAACAAATTACATTCCTGGACACTCCGGGCCATGCGGCATTCCTTGAAATGAGGAAACGTGGAGCGGATATTACAGACATAGTCATTTTAGTCGTTGCAGCTGATGATAGTGTTAAACCTCAAACAATAGAGGCTATCAAGCATGCCAAAGGAGCAAATGTGCCCCTCATAGTCGCAATAAACAAAGTCGACAAGCCAGATATCGACATCGACAGAGTAAAACAAGATCTGGCACGTAACAACGTCACCGTCGAGGATTTCGGCGGTGATGTCCAGGCAATTGCTGTCAGCGGTAAAACTGGTCAAGGCATGCTTGAGTTGGAAGAGGCAGCTGTTACGCTAGCTGAGATGTTGGACCTCCGAGCAGATGCTCAAGGCAATTTTGAAGGACAGGTTATTGAATCTTCCACTAAAAAAGCTGGCAGAGTAGCTACCATGCTAGTTAAACGCGGCACCCTGCGCCCTGGTGATATTATCGTTGCAGGAACAGTGTGGGCCAAGGTCCGTACTCTTCGAAACGAAGCAGGAAAATCAATTAGTGAAGCTCCTCCAGGAACTCCAGTCGAGGTTGATGGTTGGAAAGATCATCCGGTTGCTGGTAGCGAGGCCCTTCAAGCAATGACGGAACAACAAGCGAAAGAAGTTGTCGAATTTCGACTTCAAAAGCAAGAAACTAGTCGGCTCGGCAGCGATGTAGAAGCGATAAATGAGAGTCGCCGTCAGGACCGTGAAAAACGACGACTTCAAGAACTCCGAGAACAACAAGAAGCATCTACAGCAACCTCCGGCGAGCCTGCTATCGAAACCATGCCCGAATCCGGGCCCGAGCCCATCCCATTTATCGTCAAGGGAGATGTGTCCGGCTCTGTTGAAACGATTGTTAACGTTGTTTCGGCCATCGGCAACAATGAAATCTTCGCCAAAATCCTTCGCTTTTCGGTGGGCCAGGTCACAGATTCTGATGTTCGCTTTGCAGCTGCGGCGCAAGCAAACATTATATCATTCAACCAAACCGTTAGCTCCGAAATAAAACGAACCGCCACTGCCGCAGATATAAATATTCTCAGCCATAACATAATTTATGAGCTGATTGACGATGTCAAAATGAAATTGAGTGGCCATCTACCCCCACTCGTCACACAGCGGGTTTTAGGAGAAGCCGAACTTGGCCAGATTTTCGATATCAAGATAAAAGCCAAGCAAAGGACTTATGTTGCCGGATGTAAAGTTGTAAACGGGGTTATCGATCGTACACACCGTGTACGGGTACTGAGAAATAAAAAAGTTGTTTATGATGGTAAGATCTCAATCTCTCGTTCTATGTTTGGCTTGATCTTATCGCCTATCTGAGTACTGATATTCTACTAATATCTAATCTAGGAAAACTCTCTTCCCTTAAAAATGTGAAGAAAGATGTGACAGAAATGCGGAAAGGTACTGAGTGCGGAATGGCGTTCGAAGATTGGACCGATTTTGCTGTCGGCGACGAAATTCAAACCTACGAGGAAGTCCATGAGAAGAGGTTCATTCAATAAAATAGAATACACTACACTAATGGTAAGACTTTGAAGAACGATGCGATGCACTAAAATCGGAAAATTGCAGCGCACATGTATGATTAGGAGGTTGTTTCATTGACTCTGCATAGAACGGGGTCGAGCCCCAGATTCTAGTGTAATTTTGGGCATGCATTTAACGGGTTCTGTAGGTTAAAGATATACTAAAATGGTTAATCAACTACGATTTATTTTTCTCCTCTATTCTACTTGTATGCCGTACTACTTCGATGTCTCTGGGAACCTTTGATTGTTTGTCCGTAAAAGAGAATCTGAGTTGGATATCTTCCTCCTATATTTCGACATCATTGGGGCCTTGTCTTGATGTCCACCAACCATGGCAATGGATGAATGAAATACCTGCTGCCCTGCGTAGCAATATCAAACCAATAGTGTTTACTGACATACAAAGAAGGGATTCATCCAGGTATATATACCATTGAGCGTCAGATAAAGCCTAGATAATTTATGTGGAGAAAATCAGATGCAGCCTACTACTGTTCTATTTTACCAAGCAAAATACTGCACCTAGTCAGTAGTCTCAGTAATGTTGTTGGTAGATCAATTGTTAACGACATATCTATTGTTGTACAGGTTTTTGAGCCAAAAAAAAAAAAAAAAAAAAAAAAAGGAGAGAGAGGAAACAAAGCCCCTTCGACCAGAGCAATGAAAAATATGGGAGTAATCCCCATTGATGGTGCCTTAGCAAAGGTCGGGGCTGAGAACTCCGATAGTGACATGTTTAGAAGGCTTTGAAGACCTCTAATATGGACATGTTGATGGGTTAATCGTCATAGACTAGCGGTTGCCCATTATCGGGATGAGTTGGCGTAAAGCTCATGAAAAGACGTGATGGGATATACCCGGTAGTTTCATGTTATAAAGCTGGTACCAAAAATGGGTTGTTTATGAATCTCCTATTCTGGGAGGCTTCAGGATATGAATATTTCGTCTTAGCTTTTCCCAGCAGTTCCGGATCGGATACGGTCCAGGAGATGGCTAACAGATGTGTTAACGTTGAGCCGGTGCTCAGCGAAGACTAAATCGAGTTTGGTCTGTGTGTCGTCTGCATGAACAAGGGAATGGTCATTTATAATTTCTTTCGATCGCTTGGACGCTGCTTTGGATATGAGTTTACCGCATCCAGGCACCGAGCATGTCCAAATGTCTCCAGAGATTGTGCCCGCGGTATTGGTGATGAAATGACTACTAGGTGGCACCGGATTCATCTGGGTTTCAACATCGTCAAAACCAGTGGGTTCTGAGTGTTCGGAACTTTCTTCCATAGATTCGTCATGCCTCAAAGAGCGATCTGAATCGGAAAGTATAGGGCGGATGTTCTCGTTTGATTTGGTTGTCAATGGCTTATGGATTAAATGCGACCCACCGCGTTTAGTTGGGGTATCATCAATAAGCATTTCATCCCTGTCTTCGTCTGAATCGGACCACCTAGCGTAGTTCCGATTCTGCTTACCCGCCGCTTTTGCAGATACCGAGCTCATTTTTGGCCGAAGGATGGATTTCCGATTGCGTCGTCGTCGCTTCTTTTGACTGGTTACATCCTCTTCCTTAGAACTCTCAGCCGAGGATTCCACCCCGGCCTTTGTGGCTCGAGGATGAAGAGGGGTTGCAAGAACATTTTGACTAGTATCCGAGTTTGCAGCTTCTTTAATCTGCCTGTAGAGAGCCTTTCGCGTCCAGTCAAAGGTGGAATCTCGAGCGCCATCCATCAATTCTATGATACTGTGGGCTCTTTTCTGAATTAATTCCAGAGCGTGCTCCACGGACCCGATCTCATATTTATTCATTAACTCGGTTGCTAGAGAGTTTATGTTTAGTTTCCGTTTTGAAAGGAATCCCGAATCTTTCATTTCTGTGATCATTTCAAATATCGAGTGTGCTTGTGTCTGTCCAATCTCGGCATTCGCTAGGCTATCATTGGCGAATTCTTCGTGAGGTGTGGTATGATCCTCATCGCTGGTGTGGTTGAGCTTTTCAAAAAGATCCTAGAGATAAAGTGACGTCAAATTAGAAACAGGGTGACGGGCGTTTTATATGAATGTAGGGAGTAGGGTTTTACCGGATATTTATTTTGGAGATGGGAATAAATCGATGTGCTGGCCCAATCAACTCCCTCCTTTCCTTGCATCATCTGCTTGATTAAGAATTCAGAGTGCTTATTGAATATCTCCGCTGAATCACTAGCATCCTCACATGCTCCATTGGTATGGCGTGTATACTATCTCATAGTTAGTGTTATTTATACTTGAAACTAACGCTCAATGTTGGATATATCACTTACTTCCTCCAACAGATAATCCAATTTGGGGCTCGAATTCTTTCCCCGTCGCGGCCGCCGTTGATGGTTATCCGCTAGAAAATATAGTAGATCGACAGCTTCAACTATTTGGCCAAACATTGGCTTGTAACCTTTGGCGGGTGAAATGGAGAACCACCCCGCATCGCCAGCAGCCCAAATACCAACCCCACCATCATCATGTTGTCCATACGCAGAATGCGTGACGTTTTCGATAAGTATTCGCTTTTGACGATAATCCGGATCCAAAACTAGGAAATAATGAATCGTGAATTAGCACAACAACATTCTATCCTTGAAATAGAACTATGATAAAGTGGGAGCGAACTCGGTCATACCAAGAGACTCTTGGTCTTCTTCGACTGGCTCCAGCTGCCCGGTAACAGCTACCGGTTTGTCTGGGGAAGCTGTAAGGAGGTTCGCATAACGCGATTTGCCGGGAATGTAGACCTTGACATCAGTAAGAGTGAATTCCTCCCAGTCATTCTCGTCAGTGATGGCAGGAGCTCTGCTAGCTAGCACAGTATCGATGCGCGCCGTCATATCTTCGGATCAATCATGATGGCCGGGGATTTGTCCATGAGAGGGGATGTAGTGTTGTGAACCTGGTTCGTTCTTTGAGCGGGGTCAGTCAGTAATTGCAATTGTTATTGATGGCGCGTGAAGCTAGATGTCTGTTCGTTCTCCGTCGAACTGACTAGTATTGAGTTAAACTGAGTGGATCCACAGCTCGCAGATACAGTGCTGATTAATAAGAACCTAGTTTGCCAATCTGTCCGTAAAAAGAAGCCAAAAAAAAGAGTCGAAAAAAAGAAATGCTCCCGGCCAGGATCGAACTGGCGACCTTCAGATAACTGGAACAGTTGTCTTGTTCCTCATATGAAGATATGAGACTGACGTGATAACCAACTACACCACGGAAGCTCCTGTTGTGGTAGACTGGTGCCTTGGCTTGCTTATTTGCCATACCTCCGCTGCTGGAACAACATCCGAGTCTCAATTAATTCAAGTTTCCCTTCCAAAGCAGCATGCTAGGAAAAAACACAGATCTAATTGGGCTTGTTTCGTCACCCAATGCTATTCTAGCAGGATATTAATCCTCCTATTGAGCTTTCCTTATTCTCATCGATGAACATTGGTCGCATCTTTCCACAAATCCGATTGGCAATGTCGAATACACGCCAGACAGATGGTGTTTTCGGTAAGTCCATTGAAAATATACCAGATTATTAGGGGATGCATGAGCCATAGGTTAACATATTTTCTCTTGTAGCCGTTCATAAACCAACAGATGTTAGCTCTGCCCAAGTCCTCCGAGATCTTCAGAGACACTTCAATAAGTCACAGTTTTTCAAACCATGGATAGAAGCAGAGCGCGAGCAGCGCAAGCGTAACATGTCGAATATGCGTCGCCGCGGAAAAAGGGACAAATATATAGACGTCAAGTTGGGCCACGGCGGAACTTTAGATCCTATTGCGACAGGAGTCCTCATCACTGCTGTAGGTCGAGGAACGAAGCAGCTCGGGGATTTCCTAGGATGTACTAAAACATACGAAGCAGTTGTTCTCTTTGGTGTGGCAACAGATAGTTACGACCGTGTTGGCAAAATTACTTCTCGAGCACCATATGAACATATCACAAGGGAGAAACTGGATGCTGCCTTAGACAAATTCCGTGGCAAGATTATGCAACGGCCTTCTATATTTTCGGCACTTAAAGTACAAGGGAAAAAACTCTATGAGTATGCCAGGGAAGGCATAGAACCGCCTGTTAAGATTCTGGAGAGGCCTGTTGAAGTCTCAAATCTGGAAGTTGTGGAATGGTACGAGCCTGGTTCACATAATTTCGTTTGGCCTACGGAGGAGGTTTCCGAAGGTGAAAAGGATATTGCCCAGCGTATGAACAAGAAAGAAGCTCTTGCAATAGAACAAAAAGAAACTGGGATGGAAGATGAAAAAACGGATGTGGGATCTGCATCATCCAAAAGAAAAACCCCGCCTTTGTCACCATCTGAAGCTGCAGAAATAACAACTATGGCTTCCGATAAAATATCTGGACATAACGTCCCAACAGATGCTAGCCTCTCAGACCAATCCTCTTCAAAACGACAGAAAGTAGACATGGAAGCTCAACAACAATCTTCCATTGTTGACGCCCATGAAGAGGGGGAGCCTTCGAAGCCTACTTCATACCCTCCACCACCGGCCGTCAAGCTCACTATGACCGTGTCTTCTGGGTTTTATGTCCGGTCCTTAGCACATGATTTAGGCCTTGCACTTGGGAGCAATGCTATCATGAACGAGCTCGTTCGCACTCGACAGGGCGATTTCGAGCTTTCCCCCGAAAAGGTTCTGGAATACAAGGATCTGGAAGCCGGCGAGGACGTATGGGGTCCCAAATTACAGAGGTTTCTAGATTCATGGTCGCAAGCGAAGGAGGCTCATCAGAGTGGTGATGAAATGCTCAAAGCTGGCGAGGCCAATGAGAAATAAGCTTTTGCATGCATTAACTCCTATCAAAAGATAAAATAAAAAAAGGTGCCCACCAAGCAAATTTGTGTAGTAAAAGTCTACCTTTTCTTGATTTAGCACCCAAACAAAACATGTAAGGGCATAAACAATGATATTCTCTCCACACGATAAAGAGATGATGGTTGGTATATAAGCCTTGAAACCAATATGAAAACAAAGAGACAGGTAAGCATGAAATCAGGTGAATTAAAGGGACCCCTGATCAAAACTTCCAGCAAGCAAGAACAGAAAGACAGATTGAAATTAAATATGTTAATCAAGATCAAGTCACAAATATGCAAACCAGAAAGAGCAACGGGGTTTAAGAAGGGTACCTAGGTAACCAAGAAAGAGAACGATAAAAGTACAAAATGGGAAAATACACTTAGTTAAAGAATATGTGAGTAGCAAGATCCGGGTAAAAATCGCCCAGTAGGCACCGAATGAAACTGGGGTCCAGAACTAGCCCAATCTATCAAACCGAATCCTGAAAATCCCACATGATATCAGGCCGGATAGTTTGAGACCACCCAAGTGTAGAGCCAATCGGTAGCAGTGTTTTGAAGCAAAAAAATAAAAAAAAAATAAAAAAAATAAGTTGAATTTAGGAAAAAGAAAGAAAAACGAGGAGGATATCATAATATCATGCAATTCATGCGACAAACACGGAAAGAGCCAAACAAGACCAGGGTTGATCTACACTGGAGGTTGATTCTATACTAAAACAGGAAGAGAGAAAGAACCCGGCACTGAGGGGATAAGGAAATGTAAAATAAAAGAGCGGATAGATATCAAAAGAAATGACAAAAATATTATTGGCTCCAGATGAGGATATAAAAGGCCTCCTACTCCTACTCTTTCTATGTTTGCTGGTGTGCATTGTGAGCTTCGAGAAGGGCTATTTTGACATGTTAGCTCAAAGGGAAAATGAAAGCAGCAAGCAGCTCTGTAGAAAAGAGGGACATGAAATCAAACACTCACTTTGCAGTACAGCACTCTGTCCCTGTCTGGACTCGCAAGCACATTGCAAGGTGCTCCCATCACGAAAATCAAGTAGGATACTATTCGGTAACTCTTGTCGGTCGTGGTCTGGTAGACAAGGTTTGCAGAATTCAGAGAGATGATACCGTTTGATAACATTGCGCGAGTTGCTGTCGATGATACCTGGTGTCAAGATTAAGTAGCCCCGTTCGTCGACTCGCATGAAGCGTCGCTTCCACAGAAGTGTATCAGGAAATTGTACGTTAACTTCACCAATATCAACGACCTGGGCTATTTCTGGGTTCGAAGCCGTTTCTACTTCCTGGACGGGTGCAACGATGGGGGACTGCTGATCCTTTACGGGAGAATTCATTGCACCCTTTCGTCGCGAATTTGAGGCGATGGAGGACATCCGGCGGATGAGTCTAGATTTTCTAGATTCTTTCTTCTCCTCTCTTGTTTCGTCAACGATATCCAGAGGGGTGTGGGTAGCATCGCTTGACGATTGGGAATGTAGATTGTCAAATTTGGGACGTGATGAGATAGACAGCCGACTGGAGATTGAATCGGATCGTGGGGCTGGTCCATGGAAGGAATTACGCTTAGACCCCGTGTCCGAAGCCACGGAAAGTCTATGCTCGGGGGATCTGGCTGCAGGCGGGGATCTAGGGATGGCGTCTGTTGTCTGCTCGACGCTGATTTCACTCTTCTGAAGGTTTAACGGAGGGTCTTCAGGTGTTGGATTCTCAACTGGTTTGGATGGAGAGGCAGCTGGATCACGAACAATTCTGGCAGTAACTGAGACAGAAACATTGCTTGATTGCGAGCGGCGCTTTGATTGTGTATCCTGACGCCGAATATTTACTTTCGGGTCGGGAGAGTTCTTTTCACTCGAAGGAAGGGATACAGGTATTGGTAGTTGGGATATGGACGCTCGTTTACGGAATTTTTCAAACGCAGAAGGTGACGAACTTCTGTTTCTAGAAGGCTCTGCACGCGCGACAACTGGAGATCGAGGCTCACGGCTAGAAAACATCTCCAAGGCCTTAATTCGTTTCGAAATGCCAGAAGAAACGTTCACCTTCTTGGCCACCAGCATTGGGACAGCATTTTGACCGATTGGAAGTGCCTGGATATCATGTACAGCAATAGAGGAATTTGATACAATACGAGAACCGCCCCATGCATCAGCGGGGGATCCTCCATTGACAATTGTCATAGGCGTTCTGGGTACCGGAATAGGCCTGGCTTCCTGTACTGTGGCGCTTCCCAACTCCTCCATAAAAGAGTCATCAGATAGGAGATATTCTTCGTCGGTGTCATGGGCATTGGATGGTATCTGGATGGGATCCAAGTTTGGCTTCTTTTCTTTCTTTTCTTTTCGGTGGCTAGCACGTTTATCTGCAAGAGAGAGAACAACTTCGGCCCCACGAACAGTATTAGAGCTCGAAGTTAGCGACTTTCCCTCAGACTCAATTTGTTTGCCATGGTTGGAGTTAGATAGTGATTTATTCGACTCCCCATTTACCATTTGAGGTTGATTGGGAATAGAGGGCGAGGAAGTTGCGTCTACCTCTCGGTCCTTTTGTACCAATTCACCCGAATTTTGAGGACGGACTGAATCGTCCAAACCGTGATCAGTAACGTCATCAGTTGAGAGCAATGTAGTAGCAGGTTCAAGTGAAGTTTCGCATATTGATTCTGGGGATTTCATAGCCGGAGAATGGGGTTCTGAAGCCGGTTGTTGTTTTTCGTCTACCATGCTTGACTGGGACGAGTTTCTTCCACGAGTGCTTGGCTTCGAGGCCATGTCAGATTCACCGTCGGACATATTTTGGAGCTCGGATACCGATATTGACATGGAAATATTATCCAGAATATACTCGTTTCCGGGGGTAGAGGGCTCCTCGACAAGTTCCGTTGGTTGGGATCCTGCCTGGAGAGGGTTGATATCCTCTGTAGGGGAGTATACCGTCGTTCCATCGTCTGGAAAGCGCTTTTCCGAAGTTTGCAGGGCTTCGGGAGAGTGAAATCCAGGGCGCTTCATTGCATCTGCGGGTGTTTTCGAGGATTTTTGAGAGTCTTCCGGGTGCATAGATGTTAAATCAACTGCTGAATCAGGTGCCAAAGTATTCGGCAGAGAGATTTCTACTGATTGGCCCGTTTGGGTATTGTTGTATTCTTCGATTGAATGATTTTTTTGTTTGCTTGTGTCCAGATTGTTCTCTTGAGTTTGTTGCGGGTGTTCGGTTTCGGTGGGTGGCGTTACACAATTAACGGGTTCAGCGGTGACAACAATTTCCTGGGTAGTTTGCACTGATGATGCGATATTTATATCCTCAGAGTTATATCCAGAAACAGGATCTTTCTTGTCCGAGGCTGGCGGTTGCCTTTCCATTTGCTTTTTTCTTCGCTCTAAAGCTTTCATCAAA